TATAGTTAACACCTATGTGATGGTGTCACCGTTACCCCTCTGTAATTATAGTTGATTCGTACTTAAAAGACTATTTAACTTTTATTAATCTTTAATGGAACTGGCAAAAAATCATTTATCTTCTGTATATTTTGCCTTTTTTGCCTTGATGTCCCCCCCCCCTAAATGGTGTCACCCGGTGGCGTCCGCACCCCCGCGCCGCCCTCGCTACGCCTCTGCTCGTAACAGAAGCTCTTTTGTTAACAAAACATTTATTTACTCAGTGTGTATTTATACAATTTAATACACATACTTTTTACACATCACAAATAATCCCTAAAAATATATTGTTTTCTTTCAAAAAGTGCTGTTTCTCTCCCTTTACCCCTCCACATATCAGAGAAATATGATCATACATGTAATATACTTTTAAGTGCTAGTCTAGTTTCTTATACGTTGAATTGTTTACAAAGTTTAGGGATTTTCGTGACAAAGGTTTGAGTCTTTGATTATGTAATATTTTAAACTGAACTCACGTCATTTTTTAAATTTAAAATTGATAATTACTTCATTTGGGGGGGGGGGGGGTGAATGTTATTAATTAAGAAATTCATTTTGTATTTAATCTTATTCTGTTGAAAAACAGTTTATTATTTTGAACAATAAAAATATTTTCTTTTTCTCTTTTCTTCTCAAACCATGTTACTTCATGCGACGACGATGAAAGAATGGAAAAAAATCGATATTTTTTATAGGGCGGGTGGGGCCTGTGTTAACCGTACCCCCACCTTTACTTTTTACAAAAAATTGATATATTTAAAGTTCACAACTGCTCATTATTTCTCGCTGGAGGGAATTCGTATCCTGCGGAAATCGATGATTCCGCCAGGAAACGGCATAGCTCCTCCCACATCGATTTCTCTACCTCACACCTGACCTATCGGAACATTTTTACTGGCTGAGATTGTGAAAGAAGATCCGGCAAAGGTAATAACGGGGTGCTTCTGCTCCAACCGACGACCAGCAACGATTCCTAAAATGTCAAAATATTTAGCTGTAATTACTTAATAACTTTGCACCTTGTTTATTTTGTGAAAATGTATCTAATTAAAGTACGGAATTGCGATAATTAAACATGATTTTGAGGTGAATCATAAATCTAGAAAGACATTTTCGTGGTAATTTTGTTATTTTCCCCGCCTATCAATTAAGTTATGGTAGTTTTGAGGTGTCAGCCCGTGTGGTGTTATTAAATCCCACCCCCTTAAACTTAATGGCGGGGGTTAACCTTTACGCATCGATGAAGTCAAGTATTGTCCTAAAGGTTTTCACACTTATTATTGAAGAATAAAATTGGAGAAAATTGGAGAAAATTGCACTTGATTATAGCTGAAACCTCTCTATTCCACGCCTCACTGAGTTTTCATAGGGCTGTAATTATCTAAACATCCATAACATCAATGTGTCATCGCTCTGGTCATTGATTTTTTGGGAAAATGTTTTCTCGCATATGTTATTAGATAGATCTTTCTGGAAAAGTTTTTAGTTTCAATTTCTAAAAATATACATTCCCCCACTCCCCATATCCACCTCCCCTACCCTCTCAACACCCCCCCCCCCTCTTCTCTTTACTGTCCCAACACAGTGCACTTAGATTTTTCTAGAAAAATAGTCTTATTTTTTTAAATATACCCCCCCCCCCCCACTCCCCATACCCAACTATACCACCTCACCCCCACCCCTCTCTGGACACCCACCCTAACGAACACAATTTTCTCCCAGCCCTCGTTCACATTATTCTAAACCCCACCATCACCACAGTCTGTTGGAAAAGATTGATACAGATTTAGTAAAGTTTTACGTTTCTATATTATTACATGGAATTTACTGGAAAATTTTCCATGATTCACTTTTAGTTCCACACAGCAACGTTGAGAGCTAGGGTTGGGGGTGGTATAGGTGGAGGAGGAAGGGGTGTGTGTGAGTGTGTGTGTATATGTGTGCGTGTGCGTGCGTATGTATGTGTGTGCATGTGTGTGTGTCTGGATGTGTGTGGATGTGTGTGGATGTGTGTAGTTATTTGTGTTTGGGTGTTGGATATAAAAAAGAACAACTTTTATTTTACATTTTATTTTTATTATTACAAGAAGAATAAGTGTAACAAAAACTAAAACAAAAAGTAAATTTGTGCTGGAATTGAGACTGAGAGAAAAGCTAGAGAATTAAAGAACTGATATACTTCTTAAAAATAGAGATAGCTAGGACAAGGATAAATGTAAATTTAAAAAAAAAAAGCCGTATAGAAAAAAATGAAAATATGTATTTATTAAAAATAAAAGAAAGAACTAAGGGAGAGCAGAGAAAAATATTACGACACATTTTACACACCACATATATAATGAATACACATACAGTCTTTTGTTTTATTGTAGCAAACAAGTTAAAATAATTTACGAATTTAGATGCACTTGTTTATTGAGACCTTTCGCGTGTTTAAATGGTGAGCTCTTGGAACCAGTCAATACTTTATAATACAAATTATAATTAATTTTTGTTGAGCATTTTTATGAACATGGTGTGGCGTGGTCTAGCGGTAGAGAGTTAGACTGCTAACCCAAAAGTCTTGAGTTCGAATCCGGGTTCAAATAAAGTGGAACGTCCATGTGTCCACCCAGCTCAGATGGGTATCTAAATCACGTTACGAAAACTAAGGTGTTGGGCATAGTGCTGACCACAATTATGCCAATGACCTCTAAAGTATATGAACTCTCATCTGCCCCATGTGTCACGGGCACGAACAAGAGGATGATTATTTATGTACATAGAAGCATGGTCGGAATGTAGATCTCTTGACCACCACTTTGATTGACTTGAGTTCGAATCCCACTAATTAGATTGGATTGGCTTTTTAAAATCCATCTTGTTTTATAGTTTATTTAAGTAAAGTACGCCAGAGTCATAACGGCAGATGAAGTAGTGTTATACTAGTGTTTATTATAATATCCACTAACTCAAATCGATTATATAGCACCTGTAAGTGCTAAATTCTTCTCCACCTGCTATCTTGACCATTAAGACTCTTTTCAAAAGCGAAAGTTCCATAACCGTGAGAAATAGATTGTTTCTACTGCCGTCTACCCACGCTACTCTCGAGCCCTAAATGACACCTTATCACGTGACAAAATGGCGGGTCTCACTATGACACACTTGAAATTAAATACAGCCATAACGTAGGCCCTAATTCATAATCAAACACGCCCAATCTCGACGTTTTGCTCCTTTTCTTTGTTAAACGAACGTTACATAACTTCCCTGCTGCGTTTTTAATTTGGTACAATTACCATCACCGGCAGCCTGGTCGTAAATTGTGCATCCATTGAGGACTAGGCGGGGGAGGAAATATGAATGAACGTAGCGTAAATGCGTGGGAAAATTCCTGTCTGGCTGTGACAATTATCGTGGCAGTCTCCAGCTGTTGTTTTGACTGGGTTTATTTTTAGAAAATTGATCCAGGTTTTGCGTCATTCATGAATGAGTACGCTACACACTGAGTTTGTGAATGGTAATAAATAAATGCGATGAGCCTTTGATAAATAAAATTGTTTAAACTCATTTTGGTGCTCTTTTTCTTTAAAAAAAAATTTAACGCATTTCAATTTAATGTTTTACTAGAGAGAGTTATTGAGAAAATGTTTTATACAGTGTTTTAGATATTAGTATATAGTGTGTGTGTGTGTATGCGTGTGTGTGTGCGTGTGTGTGTACGTGAGTGAGTGAGTGAGTGAGAAAGAGAGAGAGAGAAACAGAAATAACGAGAAAAAGAGATAGAGGGAGAGAGAGAAAGAGAAAGAAAGAGCGAAAGAAACAGAGAGACAAAGAGAGAGAGAGAGAGAAAAAGGGAGAGAAAGAGAGAGATAAATTGTTCTAGGTCCATTCTTCAGCTAAACGCAACAATCAGTATTTCATTCCATATCTGTATTTCTGTGTGGTCATTACACATCTGTATTTCTGTGTGATCATTACATATCTGTATTTCTGTGTGATCATTACACATCTGTATTTCTGTGTGATCATTACACATCTGTATTTCTGTGTGGTCATTACACATCTGTATTTCTGTGTGATCATTACATATCAGCATTTTTTGACAAGATTTTTATCAACCTCTTTTTTTAAAACTAAAATGTCTTCAAGCAGTCATTTTGATGTAGCTATTTTCTTGTTTATTATGTATTATGGCATTAGTTTCCACATTTGCATTTAATACATTCATGACGCTCAAGAAGTGACAGGTAAATACATAAAGCATACATCAAATATAAGTCAAATTCAGAATTAAAGGTTCATTTTTTAATTCAAATTTTTTGACAACATTTAACTCCACATCATAGAACACCAATACAATAAAAGTGCAATTCACACATGACAAAGTTGAGAGATACAAAAAAAAATGAACAATTAAAAATCACATGTTTGTGCGCTTAAAACGTTCACGGAGTTACACGGGAAAAGGAAACGACTTTAGTTGATGACGTCAACACTTATTTTAGATTCTCTTCATATTTATTTGATGTGTTATCTGAAGAGTCTCTAAGGCCCCTGTGGAAAGTCTGCAATGAGGTGTGGGTGCCATACACCTGTCTGCACTTATTGAATGGGTAAAATGTCTTTATGGCTCCGTTGAACAGGTATATTCAGGTGTTAGAGCCTTACACCTCTCTGCTCGTTGTTGAAGCTTGGACCAAACGTCTAAGAAACTGACGACAGTAACATTCAGGTGCGCGGGTTTCCACCTGTCTGTTACTTCGAGAAGTCTGGCCCAAACTCTTAGGATACGATGAATGCAACAACCAGGTGTTCGGCAATACACCTGACTGCTAAATCTTGAAGTTTGGACCAGAGTTCTAAGCTAAGGATCCGATGATTGGTGCAACCAGGTGTTCGTCAATACACCTGTTTGCTGCTTTAGAAGTCTGGCCCAAACTTCTCAGGATACGACGATTGCTGCTACCAGGTGTCTGCTACATGTTGAAGTTTGGACCAGAGTTCTAAGGATCCGACGATTGATGCAATCAGGTGTTCAGGAATCCACCTGTCTGCTCATTCAAGAAGTTTGGACCAAGGTTCAAAGGATCTGATGAATTTTTTTAAAAGTATTAAGGTGCCCGGGCAAGCACCTGTCTACCAGCTCTAGTATTGAGCACGTCTGTGTGGCACTGGTGGATGATCAGCATTCAGGTGAGTGGTGCCATTACACCTGTCGGCTGTTGAAGATGTACGCATGTCTGTACGGGTGAGTTGGTTGCATTCAGGTGCGACGGCCAACACCTGTCTGCTAAAGTCTGTCTTTGTGGCACTGGAGAAAAGTCTGCATCGAGGTGTGGGTGCCATACACCTGTCTGCAAATATTTGAGTGAAGGTTATGTCTTTTAGGCCATGGTGAATAATCTGCATCAGGTGTGGTGCCATTCACCTGTCTGCGAGCTCAGGTATTGAGCTTGTTTCTATGGCACTGGTGATTTTCTGCATTCAGATGTTTGGTGCCATAACACCTGTCTGCTTGATGTCTTCATGGCACTAGTAAATACGTTGATCTCAGGTGCGTGGTGCCATACACCTGTCTGCTCTTTCTGGTGATGTAGACAACTATTTCTCTAAGAGCTGGAGTACTGCCTTCATCTGTTGTCCAATCTCCTACGCCATGGATTAAAACTCTCATAGGAGATGGTCGACTTGCTGGTGTCGTCTAACGAAGTTGAAATGGCCCAGCCAATTCCAGCTCTCTATTGTTGGATTCATCTGTCTATGTTGCCATTTAACGCCAACATCTCCTACGACTTGTGAGGAGTTTCTGGCATGAACTGTAATGGGAAAAAAATCAAAGTTATAGCATTTGGATGTGGTTATGTATTGCTAGAAAAAGACATGAAAAATAATAAAACAATAAGTTAATCTATAAAAAAAAAAATGTGTCTCCGAGTATATCTGACTCTCCGAGTATATCTGAAACAATAAATCATATTTTGTTTAGTAGCAAGAGAAAAAACATACATACATATTGTCCTTTACACACAATAAATATACACAATAAATTTAAAAAGGATAGTTTGATAAAAAGAGTACAACGGGTAGGCAACAAGATTGAACAATTTTTTTTTAACAGGTGAAGTTATATCTGCTGTGTTGAAGTGATGTCTTGAAGAGCTGGATGCACTCTGGTGCAACGAGTGATGAATTCTAGAAGTGTTGAGGTGTCTCTGAAATAAAACATGCATTCAACAAATGGTGCATTACAAGTATGTGCTACTTTTTACAACATCATGTGTATTTGGGGGTATTGCATAAGCTGCATTTAAATTTGGTTTTAAATTAAGCCTGTTTAGAGTATTAAAGGTTAAAGAAAACTCATTATAAGTGTTAATAAATAAACATTGAAAAACTGAAGCAAATAATATGGTTAAAAACAGTTTCATTTCATGGGAATACACAAAAACATGCAAAAAAATCAAACATTTTATTACATTAATAGACCCAACAAATATTATATAATATGGTTTGTATTACTAACGAAGATTAAGAGCATTTCTTAGAACAAAACATGCATAATACATTATGACAAATATTAAGTGCAAAGAAAGAAACAAAACACATTTGATTTTTTAAATAATTTTATTTTTTTTAAATCTGAAAAGAAAAAAAAAAGATTAAAGCATTTAAATTGTAAGTATTAATCAGCATAATGTCTGTAGAAGCGATTCTGTACTTCATTAGAGTTTCCTACAAGATCTGTAAAGGGGTTTATTCAAACATATTAGTAGCATGGCATTTTTTAAAAAACATGTAAAAATATCAAACATTTTATTACATTAATAGATTACATAATATGGTTTGTATTACTAACGAAGATTAAGAGCATTTCTTAGAACAAAACATGCATAATACATTATGACAAATATTAAGTGCAAAGAAAGAAACAAAACACATTTGATTTTTTTAATATTTTTATTTTTTTTTAAATCTGAAAGAAAAAAAAAGATTAAAGCATTTAAATTGTAAGTATTAATCAGCATAATGTCTGTAGAAGCGATTCTGTACTTCATTAGAGTTTCCTACAAGATCTGTAGAGGGGTTTATTCAAACATGTTAGTAGAATGGCATTTTAAAAAAAAAACATGTAAAAATATCAAACATTTTATTACATTAATAGACTCAACAAAGATTACATAATATGGTTTGTACTACTAACGAAGATTAAGAGCATTTATTAAAACAAAACATGCATAATACATTATGACAAATATTCAGTGCAAATAAAGAGACAAAACACATTTTAGTTTTTTTATATTTTTATTTTCTTTTAAATCTGAAAAGAAAAAAAAAAAAAGATTAAAGCATTTAAATTGTAAGTATTATTCAGCATAATGTCTGCAGCAGAGATTCTGTACTTCATTAGAGTTTCCTGCAAGATCTGTAGAGGGGTTTATTCAAACGTGTTAGTAGCATGGCATTTTAAAAATAATCATTTAAAAAAAATTATAAACATACAACAATCTGAAATAAATTGAAAGAGATTAGTTCATGTTAAACAGCCAAATCAACCACATCCCCTTCTTATTTTTTTTATACCTTGTGTGTCTCTTATGTAGGAGTGTTTTGTAGTTTTTTCTTTTTTTTTTTTTTTTTTTGACTTTTTTATGATGATATTTTTTTTTTGCTCTAGGGTGTGAGCTAAAAAGCATCTGTGCTGAGGCGTTGTGAAATTCAATTCGTAGATGATACAATATGCAGAGAAGGTGGAGATTTTGGACGAGCAAAATGCATTCTGTTGCAGCTAGAGATGTTGTCGAGAGCTTGAAGCGATGATGTTTTCATTAGCAGAGCATTGCTGCGGAGATGCCAGAGCATGTTGCAGGAAAATGTAGCAGCTACCAGCCCTGGCAGTGAAGTTGTCTAATGCTGGGTTAGAGGAAGATTTCGTGGTGATGTGGTTTAACAGGAAATTCAAGCAGTGAAGATGTTTAACGCAGTTCAACATGAAGAAAGGCAATGAAGTCGTTTAGCAGGATGGTGGATTGCTGGTGTAGTTTAACAGGAAATTCAAGCAGTGAAGATGTTTAACGAAGTTCAACATGAAGAAAAGGCAATGAAGTCGTTTAGCAGGATGATGGCTTGATGATGTAGTTTAACGATGTTTAACAGGAAGAAAAGGCAATGAAGTCGTATAGCAGGATGACGGCTTGGTGGTGTAGTTTAACGTTGTTTAACAGGAAGAAAAGGCAATGAAGTCGTTGAGCAGGATGATGGCGTGGTGTTGAAGTCTAACGCTGATCAACATGACGATCTGGCAAATGATGGAATGCTGGTGAAGGTGGTGCGCAGGTGGCCAAAGGCTCGCGGTGCAGGTGAGGTAGATATGTGCTAAAGTGCCAGTCGTCATCTCTCTGCCTTGAGACGGGAACAGCCGGCTGTGCGTGGAGACTCGACTGATGTGTCAGCTGTCATTTTTTTTTCTTTCTTTTCTTGGACGGCGGCAGCTTGAGTGTTGATCTATGCCTGCTGGCATACACCATTCTCAAACTGTACCGCCAACCGGCGACAAACTGAAATTAAAAAAAGAAAAACTCGTTAATATAAAGGAAATCAATTTACTATAAAACTATCAACCTCGATGCCTTAAGGCTTTTTTTTCTATTCTATTCCCGCCTGTCTCGCTTCTCTCCCCTCTCTTCCATTCAAACGATCTGTTTTCCTCCCCCGCTAATCGTTTAACATCCCGCTGAGGCCCTAACGATCGGCGCTCGTCTGCGCGCGACTGGCTTCACGCTTGACTTTAACGATTGTGTAACTCTATTAGAGTTTACGTTACGGGCTGTTTTTTTTTAACCTAAAGTGTAAACGACCCGTTTTTTTTCAATTAATACGCGAATGACATATTTATATTTATTATACCGCAGAGCGCTTTAAACCCCCAAATATCTTATCACGTCGGCTTATGTAACGGGTCTTTAATTCAGAGACTAATAAAAACATTAAATTCCGCAAAACTTTAGTCTAAATCGGTGAAAAAATTATTTGTATTCGTCGGTAAAATATACAGCACGTATGCCGTACGCTGGCAGACGTACCCGCAAGACTCTTGTAACTCAGTAGCTCAGTGACGGACGACTTGAACCTCGAAGTCGTAAAATATTTTAGTCACGAGCCGGAAATGTGACTAAGTCCCGTATTTTGCTATATGCGATGCTTAAATCCCTATATACGATGCTTGGACTTTTAAAAAGTGACTAAGTTAGTCACATTTTTCCGCAGAGAGATAAATTAAGTAGTCTTAAGGCGCAGTTTTATATATTTTCTGTAAATATTTAATATGCGCGTGCTACGTACGGAATCTAAAGACGCGTGTGTATCATTGATAATGATATAGATGACTTGGACCTCAAAGTCGTAAAATATTTTAGTCACGAGCCGCAAAATGTGACTAAGTCCCGTATTTTGCTATATACAATGCTTAAATCCCTATATACGAAGCTTCGACTTAGTCACGTATTTGGAGCTAAGATATTTTTTTTAATCGTAAGGCCGAGTTTTATTCCTTATATTTAAATATTTAGCTCGCGCTTGTTACGTGCGGGATCTACTCACGCGTTAGACCCATTGGCGCAGGAGCCTCAAGGATAAAAGGCTTAGACCTCGAAGCTACAAAATATTTTCAAGCCGCGAGCTGAAAAAGTGACTAAGTCCCGTATTTTGCTATATGCGATGCTTCAATCCCTATATACGAAGCTTAGACTTCGTCACGTTTTCGACGCTGTTTTATAAAATTCTGAATTCGCGAGGCTAAGTTTTAATGTTCCCTATCAAAAATCAGCTCGTGAGTAATACGGACGTAATCTGTTAATGCGATTGTTTCATTAGAACAGGTTTCGGATGAATGAATCCCTTAGACATCGCTCTCGCAAAAATGTTTTCAAGCCGCGAGCTAAAAATTTGACAAAGTCCCGTATTTTGCTATATGCGATGCTTAAATCCCTATATACGAAGCTTAGACTTCGTCACATTTTTGACGCTGTTTTACAAAATTCTGAATTCGCGAGGCTAAGTTTTAATGTTCCCTATCAAAAATCACCACGCGCGCATTACGAACGTAATCTGTTGATGCGATTGCTTCATTAGAAGACGTTTCGGATGAATGAATCCCTTAGACAATGCTGTCGCAAAAATGTTTTCAAGTCGCAAGCTAAAAATTTGACAAAGTCCCGTATTTTGCTATATGCGATGCTTCAATCCCTATATACGAAGCTTAGACTTCGTCACATTTTTGACGCTGTTTTACAAAATTCTGAATTCGCGAGGCTAAGTTTTAATGTTCCCTATCAAAAATCACCACGCGCGCATTACGAACGTAACCTGTTGATGCGATTGATCCATTAGAAGACGTTTCGGATGAATGAATCCCTTAGACAACGCTGTCGCAAAAATGTTTTCAAGTCGCGAGCTAAAAATTTGACAAAGTCCCGTATTTTGCTATATGCGATGCTTCAATCCCTATATACGAAGCTTAGACTTCGTCACATTTTTGACGCTGTTTTAGGAAATTCTGAATTCGTGAGGCGAAGTTTTAATGTTCCCTATCAAAAATCAGCTCGTGAGTAATACGGACGTAATCGGTTGATGCGATTGTTTCATTAGAACACGTTTCGGATGAATGAATCCCTTAGACAACGCTGTCGCAAAAATGTTTTCAAGTCGCGAGCTAAAAATTTAACAAAGTCCCGTATTTTGCTATATGCGATGCTTAAAACGCTCTATACGATGCTTGGACTTAGACGATTTCTCTCGCGCTTAGCTAAACTGCAGGATTACCGAGCAGAGCGTCGTGAACTGGCTTCCCAAAGTTGTGTTTCCGAGGCACCAAAAGGCAGGGTTTATATTCTAAAACAATAGCCCGGGGACGGGAGATGATTACCCCACGCGCTGGAAATAATCACCCACCGCGACCGGAAAAAGCTGGCACCGTCTCATTACCTCGCCGTGTTGGGGAACTTTCTTGGTGTTCTGGAAGATTCCATCCGAGGGTGTCCATCGATTCCGATGATTACAGGCTGTCAGGGATAAACCCGAACGTTACCTCTGAACTGTAAAAGAAAATGACAGATGTCGAGGGTGCCAATTATGAATTTCTCGGATGAGAAATCTTTCGAAAAATATTTTTCCGTCCGAAATGTCACGATGCCCTAAAGATAAAAAAAATTATACATAATAACCGCCTAGGGTATAGATCTAGCCGAAGGGGGATCGAACTTGGGTGAGACATCAACTTCGTACTTGTTTTTTCTAAGAACAAAGAATAGTTACTTATGAGAAAGAAACATAATGGCATTTAATTAGCGCTTAATTAAGGACAGGCAGTCACGCTGGAACAGACCAATTAGTTTTCTAACTGAAAAAACATGAACGCAGTAACCTTTTTTTAGTGAAAATGAAACAGGCCCAAAATAACAACAAAAAGGCATATTACCCTAATCCCCTATACGCATCTAAGAATTAAGTACACACACAATCCTAATATGCTGTTTTTAAATTTAAAACAAAATAAAAACCAACAAAAACCTCATTTTTCCAATAACAATAGCTTTCTACAGTAGCATCCTTTGGTTTAAATTCCCGTAGTTGAATGAAAGCCTATGGTATAAGTAAAAATATAAAGAAAAAAGGAATTAACTGATTATTTACACAATTAAAAAGGTACGAACCTTAAAAATGTGTTCATTGTATGTAAATAGATATACATAACAACAACATTCACATTGGGATTTAATCTTACTGAAAATAAAGATTTAAAGCTTTACTTTCAGTTTCTAAAATGTTGGTCTATAGTCCAATTTTTGTTATGATTTTGAGAAGGGCAATAATTCATGCTAAATTTTATCATTTTCTGGTTATTTCCCTTGAAGTCATTTTTATTTTTTTCTATAGAAGCTTTTGTTTAGGGCCTCATACATGAAATCTTATTTATGGTGCGCGCCAATAAATTAACAGAAATGTATAATATAATATTTTTAACACAATATTCATGTTTATATTACACATTTGTTATGTTTAAAATTTATGTGTTTAAATGTATATGACTTTTAAAGAATTGGGAAACAAATATACTTTTATCATATATGCCTTTTTTCTCTTTTTATGATATATAATAAATATTAACCAAAGTTTGTTATGTAAAAATACAACTTTTTTTGCATATTGATTATGTCAAGCAACAACGACCCCCACCCAACCATGTATGTAATATTTATGTTATTATCATATCAATAAGGCAGCGGGAATTTTGTAGAGGCAACATCGAGTTTTGAGCCTGAATTGATTCTTCCCTGTAGGATGGGGTGGGTATGGAGTGGTAGCTAGTGTTCCAGGCTTGATTTGCCATTGATTCTATTGCATTTCTGCAGTTGCATGCTCGTGTGCATCCACTGAACGCGTGCAGAAAAAAAAAAACGAAAATATGATTTTGGGCCCTAAACCTCGCCTATTTCACTATGGGATTAGACAAGTGGCATAAAACGATGACCACTAACAAATCGCGTTATATGTGATATGGTCAGCTGTGTAGCACTGTTTTATATAGGTCCATTTAAGAAAGTTTTAGTTACTTTCACTTTCATTTCTCCGTCTTCTAAATAAATCTATTGATTTTTTTTTTCTAGGAAAATACTATAATTTTCTAATCAATATTTTTTCTAGAACATTCGCCCGATACATTTTATCTCGAGTGAAACAAAGACATTGATTCGGTGACAGGTTGGGTCACTGTGACATAGCATACCCGCCAGTCAAAAGATAAAATATGGCTATTTCATGGGATGAGAAAACGAAAAGCCAGATTAATTCCGTAGCAAAATGGCCTTCGATTTTTAATAAAATCTTTAGCTCGCGCGTGACTTTTCGCGCTGAGCCCTGCGCGTGACTCTGGCTTTGATGTGCGCGGCGAGTGAGCCGTTACGGCCCTATCCAACTCGATACTTTAATCAATATCGCCCTCTTGCGATACACTCTTTACTTTAGCTAAGACACCTTAGTATCGTTACGGCCCTAGCCGACTCGATTCCTCAAATCAATAGCGCCCTCTCGCGGACAACTCCTCACTGCCGTTGTAACACTTGATCCAGCCCTCGTCGCCTTGATGCCCAAAACAGATCAATATCGCCCTCTCTCGCCATCAACACCTTACGACAGTTCCAGCATTACAAAATTTAATTGACCGAAACAACAACAAAGCAGGCCTCGCTTAGCTGTGTTAGAGTGACAAAGATTTAGAGACAGCGCCGCCATCTTTTGTAGTCGATATTTCCTTGCGTGCCCAATTTCTTCTTACCAAAATCGAGAAACAGTTGACGGTATTATGGAGTCGTAAATCATGGATATATACAATACAAGCGATATCGAATATCCATACCAGCATATTCGTATAGGGGTACTTGCGATGATGATACAATAAACTTAAGCGTACCGCTAAGGGAAATAAATTTCCGCTGTGAGACCTTTCGTTGTTAGTGTGAAGGGCCCAATGTGATCTAACGATAGCAGACTATGCCTGAATCGTGTGAAAAAAATAGGCATCACAGTTTCAAACAAAGAGAAAAGTATCCTATAGGGGAAAACTAATTTTGAAATGAAAGAAAAAAAACTTAATGGCGATAAAAGCAACAAGTGCCCTGATGTAAAAGGAAAACAAATTATTAACACAAAAAAAACCTAGCTGGACAGCATAAAAAAGCCTCTTCCAAAGGTGTCCACTGCAACCCCCCCCCCCCCCCAAAAAAAAGAAAAAGAATTTATATAGCAAAAATAAATACATTTTGACTAGTGTCCACCCCACATCCCTTGGAATTTTAGTCCTCCCACCCCACCACCTCCCCCTACCGAAAATTTCAAATGCCCCTCTCCTCCCCCCATCCAGAAGAAAAAATTCTGGATGAAACACTTATAATTAAAAAAAAGAGCCCTTATTGAATTAAAAATAATAATCCCACTATGTTGTTTTTTTAATCCTGCCCTTCATTCTATTACTTCATTTATTTTTTCTTATTTCATAATTTTTTTTATTAAATGTATAGTTAAATTAGCATAACTTAAAAGTCCTTAAAATCAAAATTTGACTCAATCCTATTTAAAGCGCCTTTTGAAAAATAAAAAAAAATATATAAAAAACTACAAAACTACATTCATCATTCAAATACGGAGTTAAACGACATCGTCGCTTACGGCCCTTAATGTGATTGACGACAAACGCTGCGATGCTCAACATAATAACATAACAAGAGCTCTCACTGTGACGAAATCAATGTAATGACGCCGGTCTCAAGTACCTAAGTTGCAAGTATTGCTCCAACAACACTCAGAACACTTGAGGCCCGTTAAAGGGGCTTGAATCGATCAGTGTCAGGTGGAATGATGCTCAGAAGAAGAGGATAATAACAGTTTAGGTGCTGTTAAGGGCTTGAGTGTTGAGTTAAAGAGACGTAATCGGTGTGGTTTAGCCGGCTTTAGCGTTGTGGTAAGAGGAGGTAATAGGCATCGATTTAACTTGCGGTAATTAATTACTGCGATTAGGTGCTTTGAGTAAAGCTGGTGGCTTTTTTATTTTACAATATGTGGTGTGAAAAATTTCAATGGTTTTATTTAGTTTAAAAAAAAATAATAGTTAAGTGCTTTTGTGGTGGCAGTGGCGTAGCTTGGGGAGAACGTTGGGGCGGCTCCCCTCCCCATTCTACGATTGCCCACCCTAAGGGGCGCCGAAAGGGTAGAATAAAAATGAAACGTCTACAAGGCTTTGCACACTAATTAAACTGATGTTTACATCAAGTGCGTTGCACACAAAAAAATACATTGTTACGGGATCGTTTCTAGTAACAACCAATTATTCACCAATATTATATATATATATATATATATATATATATATATATATATATATATATATATATATATATACATATATATATATATATATATATATATATATATATATATGTGTGTGTGTGTGTGTGTGTGTGTGTGTTCGGGTGGGGGTCGAGTGGGTAAGCTTATAGTTGCTAAACCAAAAAGTCTCGAGTTCGAACCCTTAGGCAGATGAGGCTCGTTAGCTTGGGACAGCCACTCTTCTAGGAGCGACAACTCCAAAATTAAACAACTGCTGCCTTGTAGCTTGTTCTTGGTTGGACAAAGGCTATAGAAGAAAATCAATAAGAAAAGCAGACTGAAATTGGAGTCAATGGCCTAAATGGCGCACAACCAGTTGATACGTATACTTAATTGTGTTGGATGGGATAACTTGCATCACTAAAATTAAGAACGGAGAAGAATAAGAAGAAAAGTGGGGGTCGCAAAATTTATAATTCGCCGCTTGCGCCGGAAGGGGGGTAGACACTCATGCAAATCGAGATTGAGTGTGATGTTGTGTGTGTGAGTGAGTGTGTGTGTGTGAGTGAGTGTGTGTGTTTGTGTGTGTGTGTGTGTGTGAATATCATAAAAAATGAATTGTTTCAAACAAACGTCATACACCTGAATCAGAGGCGTAACTAGAGGAAGGGTGGTGGGGCGGCTGCCCCAGGCACCTACAATAAGGACGGGGAGGGGTAGAATAAAAGAGTTAGAAAAATAATTAAAGGGCATTGCGAGCTGCACTACCGAATTATACCTTAAATTAAACACTTCTACTTGGCGTAACAATGGGACGGCGTGGCCTAAGTGGTAGAGCGCTAGGATGTTAACTCGAAAGTCTTGAGTTCGAATCCGTGTTCATGTCAGTAGAACGTCCCCGAGTCCACCCAGCTCTGATGGGTACCTAACCCATTTTAGGAAAAGTAAAGGAGGCTGGGCAAAGTGCTAGCAACACCGTCCCTTCATATGCTGAAGGGGGGGGGGGGGGGGGGGGGGGTTCTTACCAACTTGAATAACTACATATGAATAGGGTTGTGGGGGGGGGGGGGGGCAAAACTGACAGTTTGCCCTGGGAGCCAAATTTGTTTGCTTGGCCTCTGGATTAACCTACACAAAAATTAGTCAAAGGATTATAAGTGGTGTGTGCTCGTGATATAGACCCATTTCCTACTTTCGGCCGCTAAACCTAAATCATGCACACCTAGAGATTCACTGGGCAGATGAAGTAGATTTCATGTGTTCCTTGTCTCAGCATATGAAGGGAAGGTGTGGTTTGCCCAGACAGGCCAGACAACCTTTACTTTCCCTCAGAGCTGGGTGGACTCATGGACGTTCTATGGCTACACTGGTTTACGACTCCTACCCATATCTCACCCATTTTACATCACAAAAATTTGAGTCTACCCTGTGCACTCTCTGGCTGCACTGGTTTATGACTCCTAGACCTATCTCAAACCGTTAACATCACAAAACCAATTTCCAACTCACAGTCGATGTTGTTACATACTATTTCCAACTCACAGTCAATGTTGTTACATACTATTTCTAACTCACAGTCAATGTTGTTACATACTATTTCCAACTCACAGTCAATGTTGTTACATACTATTTCTAACTCACAGTCAATGTTGTTACATACTATTTCCAACTCACAGTCAATGTTGTTACATACTATTTCCAACTCACAGTCAATGTTGTTACATACTATTTCCAACTCACAGTCAATGTTGTTACATACTATTTCCAACTCACGGTCAATGTTGTTACATACTATTTCCAACTCACAGTCAATATTGTTACATACTATTTCCAACTCACAGTCAATGTTGTTACATACTATTTCAAACATCAACGTCAGGGAAGCATCAGGCAAACGTCAGGGCAGCATCAGGCAAACGTCAGGGCAGCATCAGGCAAACGTCAGGGCACCACCAGGCAAACGTCAGGGAAGCATCAGGAAAACGTCAGGGCAGCATCAGGCAAACGTCAGGGCAGCATCAGGCAAACGTCAGGGCAGCATCAGGCCAACGTCAGGGCAGCACCAGGCAAACGTCAGGGCAGCATCTGGCATACCATCAGGACAGCATCAGGCAAACGACAGGACAGCATCAGGCAAACGACAGGACAGCATCAGGCAAACGACAGGACAGCATCAGGCAAACGACAGGACAGCATCGGGCCAACGTCAGGACAGCATCAGGCCAATGTCAGGACAGCATCAGGCCAACGTCAGGACAGCATCAGGCCAATGTCAGGACAGCATCAGGCCAACGTCAGGACAGCATCAGGCCAACGTCAGGACAGCATCAGGCCAACGTCAGGACAGCGTCAGGCCAACGTCAGGACAGCATCAGACCAACGTCAGGACAGCATCAGGCCAACGTCAGGATAGCATCAGGCCAACGTCAGGACAGCATCAGGCCAACGTCAGGACAGCATCAGGCCAACGTCAGGACAGCATCAGGCCAATGTCAGGACAGCATCAGGCCAACGTCAGGACAGCATCAGGCCAACGTCAGGACAGCATCAGGCCAACGTCAGGACAGCATCCGGCCAATGTCAGGACATCATCAGGCCAACGTCAGGACAGCATCAGACCAACGTCAGGACAGCATCAGGCCAACGTCAGGATAGCATCAGGCCAACGTCAGGACAGCATCAGGCCAACGTCAGGACAGCATCAGGTCAACGTCAGGACAGCATCAGTCCAATGTCAGGACAGCATCAGGCCAACGTCAGGACAGCATCAGTCCAATTTCAGGACAGCATCAGGCCAACGTCAGGACAGCATCAGGCCAACGTCAGGACAGCATCCGGCCAATGTCAGGACAGCATCAGGCCAACGTCAGGACAGCATCAGGCCAATGTCAGGACAGCATCAGGCCAACGTCAGGACAGCATCAGGCCAACGTCAGGACAGCATCAGGCCAACGTCAGGACAGCATCAGGCCAACGTCAGGACAGCATCAGACCAACGTCATGACAGCATCAGGCCAACGTCAGGACAGCATCAGGCCAATGTTAGGACAGCATCAGGCCAACGTCAGGACAGCATCAGGCCAACGTCAGGACAGCATCAGGCCAACGTCAGGACAGCATCAGACCAACGTCATGACAGCATCAGGCCAACGTCAGGATAGCATCAGGCCAACGTCAGGACAGCATCAGGCCAACGTCAGGACAGCATCAGGCCAACGTCAGGACAGCATCAGGCCAAGGTCAGGACAGCATCAGGCTAACGTCAGGACAGCATCAGGCCAACGTCAGGGCAGCATCAGGCAAACGTCAGGGCAGCCTCAGGCCAAGGTCAGGACAGCATCAGGCCAACGTCAGGACAGCATCAGGCCAACGTCAGGACAGCATCAGGCCAACGTCAGGACAGCATCAGGCCAACGTCAAGACAGCATCAGGCCAACGTCAGGGCAGCATCAGGCAAACGTCAGGGCAGCATCAGGCCAACGTCAGGACAGCATCAGGCCAACGTCAGGACAGCATCAGGCCAACGTCAAGACAGCATCAGGCAAACGCCAAGACAGCATCAGGCAAACAACAACTGACCCGTAACACCAGACTTGGCTTTCAGTGCTCTACCGCTTTAAGCCACGCCGTCTATAGCCTACTAGAGTACAATACTAACAAAAAAATATAGTAATTGAATTTTGAAAACAATTATATTTTTAGTCTTGAAATACAAAATAAGTTTAATTAGGCCTTCACCAAATTAACATATTTTTTTAATTACAAATTATGTAATAAGCAGAGTCTAACTGTTACAACTTCGAGGAGACTAACTATAAACATCATTGCATGCATAAACAAGCTACACCTCAAGACCTCTCATGTTTTGTTTTTCTCCATCTTGAAATGATCAGCGTTTGATTTCTAGAGCTGCTGCATTTCTGATGTTGCATTGCTACTACATCGTTATATTTTACTGACTTCAAACATTGTCCATTGCCATTTTAGTCTTACGAGACCGCATCTGAATGCCAGTTTTCTAGCGCTGTAGTGGTTTCCATATTGAGCTTCGAAGCGAACAATGATTTCGTCGTTCATCGCAATTTAAAAGAATTAAAGCTTTCTTAAGCGTGCTGGGTGCACATCTTTGCAAAACGCGGTGACGACGATGACAATCAGTATGTGGATATATCAGCTTACCAGTTGTGTTGTTTTTAAATGTCTTCTTTTGAAGCACTTTGATAAAGGCTCCACGAATTATCTTCAACTCGATAGAGCATTTGGTTAGGTGTCTTGTCAATACTGATGGAAATATCCACAAAACACCCCTTTTGACATTTTAATCACATCCGCGGAATTATCCTAGAGATTGCTGGCAATAATGTTTGTTATTTTTCGCAATAACTGGTTTTTTCAGCTTTTGATTCAGCGTCGCCTTGTTAGTTTTCTTAAAACTATCCAGGGCATTCCAGGGCCTTAAGCATCCTTATTGCTGTAGGATTAAATATTTCTTCTTAGTGACAGGCATTTCATAACAGTCTTCACTACATGAATGCTTCTGTATCTCAGTCGCACAACATTAAAAAAAATCTTCCTGTACAAAGCCTGTAATGTAGCTGCATTATAAGAATCCTACTTGTGGTTCATTGAAGCTTCTTTCTATTCATGAGCTGCAGTTTCATGAAGACAATGTGAGTGTAATAGTCTTTAGCTCTCGGGGGAGGGCTCTGATTTTCTTCACACAAAGAGTGATTACTGTCCTAAATGTAAACACGGCTGGATTGAATGGACATCACCCCTCGTCAACTGTTCGGTTGTAAGGACGATGGTATTAGTAAAGCCAAATTTAGTCATAAATAAATCAGATCTGCCTCATGTGTTTCGGGCAGTAACGGGTGAAGAAAGTGGTGATGATGCAGGGGGACTGCAGTTGTAGCTTGCGGTACACCTTGCGCTGCTTGACGTACAGCTTTCTCTGCTGCTGCCTTAGCTGCCAGGCCAAAAGTTTTGGCATATGATTTTGATCATTTATAATTACATTTGGCTTAACCACTGCAAATAACATGCGCCTCCCAAACCTGGCCAATGTTAACACCGACATCTGCGTAATAGGATGAGTGGGGACGTTTTTGTCATGCCCAATCATTGAACGCAGTGACGAGTGGACATCCAGTGGTGCTTACAGACCTGCTGGGAGCCTGCAGCTGTTGCCCGTGGTACAACTTGAGCTGCTGGAAAAGTTTTGCGATAGTTTGTGAAAAGTCTTCTGGTGCTTTTGATCACCGTCATACATGAATACATGTTGTATTACTAATGTGAGCGCCCCTACAACCAAGTACATTCGGCCATGTTCATATTCAGGACAATGGTCTAAGTATCCAAATCCCGGCCAATGCCATTACCAATAGCGACACTGATACGTTAATGGGATAACTGACGACGTGTTTCCCATCTCTCATCATGGGACGAAGTGATGACTAGACGTCCATTTCCTGCTTACAGACCGTATCAGGCGAGAAGCCTGCAGATGTCTCCTATAACTTGAGCTGGTTGAGACAGTCCTTCCTCTGCAAGGCTGAACTAATGGGATGGTTCATGGCATGCATTGGTCATGTATAACCAATTTTTGCTTTACTAATCCCAGAGTCCTTTCAGCCAAGTTATGGCATTTGGTTGATGTTATATTGTTTTTGAGGACTAAGGTTGGTTTTCAACCAGCACGGCCACATAACCTGAGTATCCGAATCTTTGCAATATCAATGGCAACACCGATACCGTAACGGGATGACTGAAGTCGATTCTGTCATATCCCATCATAGGACACTGTCATGAGAAGACAGCCAGTGCTGCCCCTTGACCTATCAGGCAGGGGGGGGGCAGCATCTGTTGCCCGTGGTATAGCTTGAGATCCTTGACACATAGTTTTCTCTGCAAGGCCAAACATTTCGGCTAGAGTATGAAATGTCTTATGGTGCATTTGATTACCATCACACACGACTAACTAATGCTTTCTTACTACCACTGCCTTTACATCCAAGTTCAGTTGTATGGTTAATGTAATATTGTTAAATGGCTATGGAGGTTTTCCAGCTCATCCAAGTTTGTTAACATTCAGGAGAGTAATCTCTCTAAATTTTGGAGAGTCTTTTAGAGCTCTCTCATTACAGCTGAAGGTTACAGCACCCACAGTATCCACATGAAACTATCTGGTAGACAAGGCACGAAGTTTTAACCAATCACACAGTAGGAATCTTGTTATCACAGCCACATTGCAGGCTTTGTACAAGACGCCATTTTAAGTTTCTTTTCTTTAAACTATCCAGGCATGCGTTATACACCTTGATATATATGGGATTATTGCAATCTTAGTATCCTGCATTTCTTACTAGTTCTTCTTGAATGCGTGTGAATCTCCAATCGGCAGCGCAATTACAACCAAGTGCAGGTCAGTGGTTGATTTCAGATTGTGATGTTCATATATTCCTGTCATGTTTACATTCACGACAGTAAGCTCCCTGTTGTGTTGGGGAGTTTACTGGAGCACTCTCCTGGCCGTTGAATGTTAAAGCACCCAATTTGTCTACATAAAACTGCAGTAGTAGAAAAGGCAAGAAGTCTCTATCAATCACGTAGTAGGAATCTTCACCACAGCCACATTACAGGCTTTCTACAAGATGCCATTTTGAGTATGTTTTCTTTAAACTATACAGGCATGCTTTAAATACATTGATATGTTATAGCACCCACTTTGTCCACATGAAACTGCAGCTAGTAGAAAAGGCAAGATGTTGTCATGAACACCAGCATAAAGGATCCAGTCGTTGTAGCCACATCTCAGGTTTTGTACCTGAAGAACTTGTGTTCTGATATAAAATAGTCCTGTGATTTTTCATGGCTGTTGGTCACTTCAGTTGCAGGCTCTAGAAGATCAACAGCTACGCTGAAGAAATAAAAATAAACAACTATGAAGATATTCACAATTAATTTTTATATTAGGGAGTATTATATTTTGAAAGTATGTACAAAAAATAAGTCAAGGATAAGCTTAAGGCTCAGGTCAAGGGTAATGTGAATATCTCGGTCAATTTGGTTACGCTGACCTACCCTACTTTTAAAAAAACTAAGTCAAGGATAAGCTTAAGGCTCAGGTCAAGGGTAATGTGAATATCTCGGTCAATTTGGTTACGCTGACCTACCCTACTTTTACAAAAACTAAGTCAAGGATAAGCTTAAGGCTCAGGTCAAGGGTAATGTGAATATTTCGGTCAATTTGGTTACGCTGACCTACCCTACTTTTAAAAAAACTAAGTCAAGGATAAGCTTAAGGCTCAGGTCAAGGGTAATGTGAATATTTCGGTCAATTTTTTTACGCTGACCGACTTACAAAAACAAATATAGGCGTAAGATAATTATTTTTTAATTGATTAAAAAAAACATAATCCTAATCGACACCGAACCAAAAACCTAATAGATAGACTCATTACTCTTGATTCTACCAGGCAGCGCTTGAAATAGTCTTCAAATAACGGCACTTTATGGCGACCCCTTCTTGTAAAACCAAAGTGATTAGTGACGCAAATAAAATTAACGGACGCTGTTTTAGTTTGGTTTAGTATTCATTGTGGCGACCCCTAGAAAACCCATCGCGACCTATAGATTGGTAGCCCGTGTTTTAGAGGTTTTAAAATACGATAGCGATCACCAGTTCAAGAAACGAACACAGAGGCGTAGCGACCCTTCCCGGCGCCCGCGGACAAACTTTCACTTTGCACCCCCCCTTCAAACTTTCAATTTGCATCCCCCCCCCTTTCAAACTTTCAATTAGCACCCCCCCCCTAAATCTTTCAATTTGATTTTCCAACCCATTTTGGCGCCTCTAAGGTCGGCGCCCGGGGACATATGTACCCCCACCCCAGTAGCGTAGCCAGGATCGTCTCATGGGGTGGGGGTGGGGTGGGGGTTAAATTTTTACCCGGGGACAAACTTCCGATTTGCATCCCCCCCCCTCAAACTTTTGATTTGCACCTCCATCAAACTTTCGATTTATCGATTTGCACCCCCCCCCCCCTTCAAACTTTCGATTTAGACCCCCCTCATACTTTATATATATACCGAGGGGTCTATGGGGGGTTATGACCCCCTAACCCACCCCCCCTACCTACGCCACTGCCCCCCCCCGCCCCCTCCTCTCCCTACGCCTCTGCACGAGCAAGTGGCCTTCAGATTTTAGCATGTATCATAAAAAATAAATATTCTAAAAGACTTACCTATAATCATTTGACTCTTTACGTTTCGTAGAACGAATCCTTTTTAGTGAATTAAAGCGTTTCATTTTATCAAAATGAAAAATGTTTCTGACCATTTTGATTACGGTTTTTATTTAATGCAAAAAAAAAAAAAAAATTTTTAGAGTATATTCAAATCGACTTGCTACTGGCAATGATAGTGATAGTATGAAGGACTGAGACTGTAGATAAACGTATGCGCATGCGCAGAAAAAAATTATTATCTAGGTCAGTATTCGTCCAATGGAAATAAGTTTAACAACTTACTCAAATAAAATGAGTTAATAATAATTAAAGCTGGATATTATGTTTTTTAATACATGCAATCTAGCGATAATAAAAAGGACGTTTCAATAATGTATAATATTTTTAATAATTAGGCTAAATAGTTGTTAACTGAACATTTTATTTTTATAAGTATTTATAATTTATAATATTTGAAAATCTGCCATCACGGTTATCTTCCTTTGCTTCTCTATTTGCTGTGGACGGGGAGCGAACACTTATTTAATGCTTCCAAGTCAGGGGCGTAGCGAGGGGGGTCGGGGGGTGTGGACCGCACCGGGTGACACCATTTAGGGGGGTGATACCAAGGCGAAAATAGCAAGATATATACAGAAAAATGATAATTCTACTTAATTAGGTGATTCATTAGAGCGTTAGTCTTCTAAGAGCGAATTTGACTAATCCCGACAAGGGTGAAGGGGGGGGGGGGGGGGGTGGTGACACCATGGCGTAAACCTGCTAATGATGGAGAAAACATGCTACATCAAGCTGTATTTGTAACCGACTATAGATAAAAATCGTTAGTATTGTATCTGAGCATAGTTTAAAGCAATAGCCTTGGGGGTGGTGGGGGGGGGGGAGGGGTGAGTGGGGGGGGGGGGGAGTTACATTAACTCAACGTTCCAAAATATGCCCGAGGTAAACGGTTTGGTTGAAAAACGTAATAACTTATATATATATATATATATATATATATATATATATATATTACGGGGGGGGGACACACCATTAAGTGCCGCTACGAGTAACACCCGACCTCGCCACGCCACTGTTCCAGGTCCAATACTTTGATTGGTACTTTGTCAAAATAAAGTGAAATTGCTGACTTGATAAAATATGGCTATGACTTTCTCATTTACACACTAAAAGACCCTCATTTTAGCCCCTTCATTTCCGGTTGTTATGGCATAGTATTAGTTCAACTTCATCTGGTAATTTTACGAACACAATTAGATAATTATTCTGGGTCTATTGCTTAACATTCACTAGACGCCCTTAGACGTGTTGATGAAGGGCAGTTTACAACAACTATTATATCTGTCCATCTTGTCATAATCTTTTATCAACGAATCCCAGGAACACTGATTAAATGACATGTCTAATATGCTAGCATGTAATCCAAGCTTAAGGGACGGTGTGGCCTAGTGGTAGAGAGTTAGAGAGCTATCCCGAAAGTCTTGAGTTCGAATTCGGGTTCAAGTCTTTAGACTGTTCCTGAGTCCACCTAGTTCTGTTGGGTACCGAACTCACGTTCGAACTAAAGATGGCTGAGTATATTGCTGACTATACTATCCCTTCACATGCATAGGTCACTGAAACAGATGAACTCTACTTCATATGGGCAGGAACGGGAAAAGATGAGTATGTGATTCAAACATTTCGTCCTGATATTCCAGGTAAAGCGCATAGTTGCTAAACCGAAAAGTCTCGAGTTCGAACCCTCGGGAAGATGAGGCTAGGGACAGCCACTCTTCTAGGAGAGACAACTCCAATATCAAACAACTGCTGCCTTGTAGTTTGTTCTTGGTTAGACAAAGGCTATGGAAGCAAATCCAAAAAGAAAAGCAGGCTGAAATCGGAGTCAATGGCCCCATTACAACCAGTTGACACGTATACTTAATTGTGTAGGAAGAGGATCCCTTCCAACACTAAAATTAAGAACGAAGAAGAAGAAGATTCCAGGTTCCTATATTTGTTCTTCTAGCTCACGTTTCATGTCCCTAAGCTTGATCACCAGAATCGTCTTACATTATTGATCCTTGTTTTTTTAAATACATAGGCCTACATCTAAGACTCCAACGTCTCCCAAACCATTTAATAGTCTGTGGGTAATTTTTAACAACAACACAAAAATAAACAATAAAGACAATATTTTTATTTAATGTGCTTTTATTGGTGGAATCCCCAGTCGTTCATATACAGGAACATTTGTGTCAGTGAAAGTGAAAGTTTGGCAACTAACATAACATTGATGTGCTAGACCCGCTATCTCTGTGATACAATCACATTCCTAACTAATTGCTTAGTCTCATTGTAATGTTGGCTTTAGATGTTTGTTGCCAATACAATTTTAACAGAGATTTAACTGTCGATCATATCGCCATCTGTCGCCACACGGGGACACAATATAACGTGTTTTGCTCTGTCTAACAATACTCACTTTTGGCACAGAGACAATTTCCTACCCTAGAGATTGTACACACATTAAATAACACGCAATAGAAGCATTTAACAACCCCACTTTAAATTTAAATTTAAAATACCATAGAACCCATTAAATTATATTCTTAGAAATCAACAACCCCACCATTAGTTAAAACAAAAGAAACCCATGAAACAGGGGTACAAAAACATATGTTGGTTTTCAAACTTATTATTAAATCACATTATTTCATAACTCACTACCTGTTCATCTAATTAAAATTTCCTTATTTTAAAAATTAAATTAAGTATTTTAAATATATCTATACCAAAGGTACCCATAAAAAATATTTTTTAAAAATCATTACTCAATCCCAACTACATCCAGTGTAAAAAAAAAATTATTACTAAAGTAGAACACCAAGATTATTTTGTAACCATCCTCTAACCAATATTTTTTGTATATACAAAACATCTGCAAATTCCAGCCTGTGGTGCTATATGATGCTTATTCTTTTACTTCTGCCCAAAGATTTATAGCCAAATACACAAAAAGCGCTAGTATAGAATGCTGTAGATATTATTTTCCCCCAAAGATTTATAGAAAAACGCACGTTACAGAAAATACAAGCATAGAGTGCTACATGATTACATCAACTCATGCATAGATATATTGGTTATAAAAATTTTGTAGTCACGTATTTTGTTTTGAAATAACTCAAAGTTGTTTTTTTTTTCAATTAATTTTCTGGTTGCTTGTTATACTAAATTTTAAATTAGATATTGCAGTGTTTCTATATGATTCCACGTAAATGTGCTTTCCGTTTTTGGTTATACAAAAGTTATACCTAGATTTTGAGCAGAAAGCATGCTTTACCTAGCTTAAACTTTGCATCCACATTTTAAAAAAACATTTTTGGCAGTGAAAGAATAGTGGTACAGCTTACAAAACACTCACAGCTCATACACACGACATTAATTTATCAGATTTTTCTGAGAGGTAACAATTCACTTCAGAAATTCTGGTGCACCTCGGCCTGGGTGGTTATCTGCTGACCGCTGGTCTTGGGGCCTGGGTCGGACAGGAAAAGGCGTGGGTCGTTGGTCATGGGTGGGGGGACGGTCCTGGAGTTGCGAAGTTCGGTGGTCAGTGGTCGTTGTTGAGAGGTCGATGGCTGGTTCACATCCCTGTTGTATTCGGAGTCAATGCTGTAGATGGAATCGATGTCGAATCGCTGCATCTCAACGTAGTCTCCATCTTGAAGGCTGGGGTCACCACTGCAAAATAATAAGGGGTATTAAGGCAAAGTGTTAAGGAAAAAAAAACCTGCTTCAATTAAAGAATCAATTTTCTCTGGTATTATACTATTTAAAATTTGCAGCTGTTCATAAAGCTCTTTATATTTTGTTTTGTCGTAAATGACATTAGCTGACATTATTTTTAAAAAAAAGATTTTCAAAATATTATTTCCCTTTTTGAAGTTGCATTACTTCCCCTGCTAAAATTACACTAACCTGGAATGGAACGAAGCTGTGTTGTACACATGCTCAGGACGCCTAGGTCTTCCACAACAAGACAACAAACACTGCCAAAGCCTGCAGCCCTTTTTTTGCCGCCTCTGCAAAACATAAAAATAAATAAAACACCCATGTAAACAGTAAAAACTAGGTACGAAAAATAACTTGTTAGACTCATTACTTAATTAAATACAGTGACTTTTTTAAAAACGTTTTCGTTAGACTCGTCCAGCGAAAACGGTTACAAAAAAAAATCGATTATTGTATTAGATTCTGCCATAATACACATTGAAACTGGATGTTAAACTAAGTACAGACATTTTTTTATTAGAATCGTTCATAAAACTCAGTAACAATTAGTATATCAACTGGTCACGAAACATAACTCTCTTTATTTCATTAGTTCATAAATCGAAGTGAAAGTTTATTCATAAGCATGATACAGAAAATAACTTAATACATGTGCATCAATACTGCTACTAAAAGTATTATAACTTTTAAGAATGGATGTGGCATTCTTCTTTTCAGAAATTGTTGCTGTGGTAGAAGGAAGAATTTCCCGGGAGGTGGGGGGGGGGGTGGGGGGGGGCACTGGTAAAAGTATACATTTTCTTTATAAATTTTATTTCGTTCGGGGTGTGGAGGGCGGGAGAGGGGGGGGGGGGCGGTAGACGATTTTAGTCCCCCCTGGAAGAGATGCCTGAAAGAAACTCTAGTAGCTATTTAACCACACACCCACATTCTAAAGTAAAGATGAATTCTTTTAATGAACGCACACACATCAACTAAGAAGTTTGCTACTGTAGCAGCTATAACTCTTACATTCCTAGCGGCAGCCTTTCTCTTTGGCACCACCACTGGCACCATCCCAATCTGCACGGACTGGACACTGTCGCTCATCTTCTCTATAGTGTCATCACACTTTATGAAGTAGCCACTGGGTATCCTGGAGGGGAGATAAAACATCATCAGCTGACAGTGGTTTACATGTTCATACGTTTGGGGAAAATAAACACATAATTTAGCACAGTGGTTTATAACATGTGTTTGATCGAACCCCAGGGGTTCGGTGAGTTGGAAGGGGTTCGGTGGAGATCAAGACACATAACCGATCAGATTGTGTCAACGCGGACGTTAGGACTATTAAGAATTGTTCGTTGTATGCGCATATAAAACGTGTGGGGTTCGGTACTCCCAAAATGGTTGAGAACCACTGATTTAGACTTAATCATATAATGGCGTGGTCGTTGGGTAGACTAACTAGAAAGTCTTCCAATCTAATTCAAGTACCTGACTTGATAACAAACAACATGATAGTGACCATCTGGTCAATTTTTATACAGTACACAAACAATCGAATAGTACCATATTAGCCATTTTGTCTTACAGAGTACTTAATCTTCCTTTAAAGAGGACTGTGAAAATGATTTAATCCATGTTACTAATCGAAAAAATAATAGCTTAATATTGTTAAACATAATTTTAATGTAAAGTAAAATATACGTAATCGCAATGTAGAAAGCTGATTAAGCGAAAATAAATTTAGATGCCACAAATTTAAATAAACAAGTATTTATTCTACTTACTAAATTTATTCAATAAAGTCCTACTCTTGCTCAAGCTTTCTTACTCAAGCTTACTTTAACTCACGAATTGCCTAAGACGTATGATCTATTGTTATAGGTTTTTAATTAAATCTCACTTCTGCTGATTTGTATCTACGATAGGCGATACTTTATTCCGATACAGCGCGACTTGAATACTGTGCTGTATGACAAGTCTTTAGAATTCAGTCTTTTAAGTCTTGTCAAGATTAGAAATCGCCATCCCAATACCCATCTTGATACTTCTATTTTTAGTAACATTATAGGCCTATTTGAAACTGAACACAGTTCGTTTATGTGCATACAGCTTGCTTATTTATTTTTATATTTACTAAACAATAATGATTAAAATGTTACTAGTCAAATTAAATTTAATCTCTTTAGTCACTTAATTTGCATGTAACCGCCTTCAAAAGCTGCACATAAAACAATATTTTCACATTAAATTAGATTAAATGTTACCTGTTTTTTGTGTCAAATTAATAAATCCCAGTTAAACCAGCCTAATACATCATTAACATGTTGAAGATATCCGTACAAAACCTGACTAGCTCACATGTGTTTTAAAAATCCAACTAATATTAGACAGGGCTATGAAAGCATGTTGATGGTGAAACACAAGGGGCGACAACTTTTGTTTATAAACATGATGACAGATGATTTGAAATTTTTTCAAACATTGTATTTAGCGTAGGTGTTGTTTCGGCGTGTTAAATGTCTGCAGTAGCCCAGTCTAGTGGGGGCAGGGGGGTTGGGGCAAGGGGGTGGGGGCAGGGGTTGCGTTTCGGTCTGCACTGGGTAACACTGTCTGTGAGAGTTGACACCAAAACTGAACACTTTCAAAACTGAACACTTTCGAAACTGAACACTTTTAAAATTGAAAACACAAAACTGAACACATACAAAACGGAACACATACAAAATTGAACATTTACAAAACTGAACACGTACAAAACTGAACATTTGCAAAACTGAACACTTTCAAAACTGAACACACAAAACTGAACAGCTAGAAAACTCAACACTTTTAAAACTGAACACTTGCAAAACTGAAAATCCACAAAACTAAATACTTACAAATCTTACCAAAGTTTGTTACATAATGTGTGTAAATTAATAAACAGCATCATTAAGCTTATTACAAGTTAGTACAGGAAGGACGCCAAATTACACCAAATAAAAGTATGTGCGTTTTATTGTAATAATTTACAAGTTATCATAGGCGTCACACGTAAGTGAAGGGGATCAGCTGATCCAACCTGGATAAACTGTTAAATATAAATTTCTAAACCGAAAGTCTCGAGTTCGAGTCCTTAAGACGTCACTGAGCCCAACCAGCTATAATGGGTACCTGACTCAAGTTAAAGAAAGTGAAGATAGCTGAAGCAAATTACGGACCACCATGTTCCTTCTTATGTCGAGGTAACAGAAACAGGTGAACTCTACTTCCCCTGTCCCAAGGTTCGAAAGAAAAAAACCTACTACATCTATATATATATATATATATATATATATATATATATATATATATATATATATATATATATATATATATATATATATATATATATATACCAACAGAGAGTAAAACACAGCAGGGGAGAGAGAAAAGTGGAAATCCCCTACTCTAAATATGCCTGACCACTGTCCCATGTAAAAATATAGAATGTTGTAATCCATGCAGATTATTGCTGAAATTGTAAGATGAATGATAGTCTGGGGTAACTGGGTAATTGGAAAATATAAAACTAGAAATGCTTAATATAACACAAATCAATGTTATGTCATTCGAAAAAAAAATGTTTGAAATGTTAATACAATTTTTCAAAACGGCGGATTCTAATAGTTTTTAAAAATATTTCCGTTTAATTGAAACTTTGTTAACTGGATGAAAAAGCACATCGCAGGTTTATAAAAGTTTACTATTTTAAAACCTTAATAAAGTGAGCGGGGCAGTGGTGGCATACATTTCAGTTTATTACAAAAATTGCATTTATTTGCAAAACACATGTCATACAGATGAATGGGATTTTAAAGAAATAATACAAAAAAAACCAACAATTTTAGAAAAGTGCTAAATTGAACATCACTTGTGAAGAACGTCAGTAAATCAATATCGACTATAGAAATAACTTATATGAGAATGTCACGATGTAAAAATAATGTGTGTGTATCAGATACAAACTTTGAAAAAATATCAACTTTATTTAAAAGTTAGAAAACAAAAACTTACTGCAGCTTACAGCCGTTGAAGATTTTACTCTCGTCCCATCCCGCCATTTTCTTGAAGCAAACGTCTTCACCCCAAAGCTGTTAACACATTATAGGTCGTCTACACAAACACAGTAGGAAATTAATTACAATGACTTTCTTCGACGTGAGCAGCCGTCAGTTAGCGTCATCTGTGGGGGTGTGTCCTGACCTTATGTTCACAGATACAGGGGTGGGGGGAACAAAGATACTCGGGGATGTATATGTAAATAGGTTTTTGACACATGCATAACTTGAGCTCTACAGTAGCCTAGATAGTAAAGGGTTAAGTTTTGATTGTCCACTGTGACCTGTCCATTACATAGGGGTCATCCATAAATGACGTCACGCTTTTTTTGACGATTTTTACCTCACCCCTACCCTCCGTCACACGTCGTCACAAAAAGCCATACCCACCCCCCATAAAATGACGTCACACCTCAGCCGACAACCCCCCCTCAAATTTTTTTTTTTAAACATCAATATTTTTCTAAAATCTTGTCTGAACTCTATCAAAATAGAGTATTTTAATCAAATAGTTTTCTAAAACGCGAAGTAACGTCTAAAATTCGTTTTCTAAGATTGAATTTTTTATAATGCAAAAGTGTGACGTCGCACCACCTGAACCCCCCCCCCCCCCCCCCACCCTCCCTCCTCCCTCATCACACCTACGAGTGTGACGTCATTTATGGACGATTCCATACAAACACCTCAATTACCTTTAAAGAAATTTGAAATTTTTATTTTGGACCACGAATTTTGTTTTATAAAGTTCGTTCCTTTTTCTGTTTTGTTTTCAATGTCCGTGTGAAATCGGCCGTTAATGATTAATTATTTTTACATTATTTTCTATTTACTCTAAGATAAAAAAAAATGGGTTAATTTTCTTTATAGACCTGCGAACCTTCGAGCAGAGGAAGTAGTTTATATGTTTCTTGGTCCAGGCAAGGCAGGGTTAGTGTGGTCAGTTTAAATTATGTACCCATCAGTGCTGCGTGAACTCAGGGACGTTCTACTATCGAGAGCATGAACCGAAATTCGAACTCGAGATGTTTGGGCTAACACCCAAACGCTCTACCATTCAACCACGCCTTCCCATTATATTACTACTACTGTAAGATAATTCAGTTCCAGAATTATCGATAGAAAATCTTACAACTGTACATGGCAATGTTCCTGTTTCAGTTCAATAGTGCTGTGTGCTTACAAAACGAAAACAGTCTAAAAAAACCCTTAGGTTCTAGTTACTACCACAATCTTGCCACATCAAGTTGCTTCAGCAGATTTTTTTTTGTAGTCTGACATTTGACCAATTTCTGCCAGTTAGTCGATGAACAAAGTTGTCGTTACTGACATTCACAATTGATTTGATGAACAAGTCTTTGATCAGAGTGTCGCAACCATCTGCATTGCGACAAGTGGAGTTTTACATGTAAAGTTAAATGTATTGTTATGCACGATCATATTTTTTTACTTGCCTCCCCTGATTGTTTTGGGCCTATATCTTATAGTTAATGGGAAATAGAAGGGAAGTAACTGGAAAAATCAATAACAAAATAATTTTCTATTTTTAAATAGAGTACTGGTCTTACTTAAATTTCGAGGTATGTAAATATGAAAAAAAATGCAGTTGATGATATAAACATTGAATATAAAACAAGCATGAAAGAAATACATGTATATTGACAATCACATAAGTATATACAATTGTAAAAGAGTTGTGTACAAAAATTTGGGGTCCATCAAAGGTTTTTATTTTTAATTAAATCACGAATTTTGTTTTGTATTTTAAATTCTCCCTAATAGATACTTTCCTTTAATTTAACAACATAATTAATTAAATGAAATTCAGGTATGAAATAGTCGTACAAAACACATAATCATTTTTAATCTGTATTTTTCGTTGATTTTTAAAGGCCTGTTTCAACCCTAGCAGGGCCTCAAAGATAAGTTTCGAGTAAACCCCAATACTTACTACAATTTTCTATGTCAATGTGTGTTAATACACACTTACACAAATATATATATATATATATATATATATATATATATATATATATATATATATATATATATATATATATATATATACATGTGTGTATAAAGATTTCTATATTTTCATATGAATATATCAACGATTACTCATACATCTTTGTATGAACGAACCAGGTATGGTGTAACCCTCATTGAGCTCACCAGCCCCAGCCCACCCTCCACCCCCTATCCACCCCTCTCTCCGACAACAATTAAGTCAGACTGAGCGATCTAAGCTTTTCTTTACATCTGCTGGTATAATAAAGGGCAATAGATTTGTCACTTGGCTATATTGATTACCACTTAGAGAAAGGTTAAATGATATCGACAGTGATCACGCGTGTTACATAAATCACGTTCGCATACATACAGAAATACATTCATATATACGTATATATACACATATAACATTCATACTAAAATATGTACATCTATTTATGAATGTGCCATTGTGTGTGTATGTTTGTGTGTGTGTGTGTGTGTGTGTAAGTTTGTGTGAACAAATGTCTATGTGTATGTTCACGTTTTAACTTTTATTTTAAATTGTAAATTGAATGGCATCTAAGTGTTTTAATTAGTGTGTTTGAAATAAATACAAGTCTTACTTATTTTAAGCATCCCCTTTTAAACAAGCAGTAAATCAACTGTATTATCGGTTTATGTAAAAGATGTTCACTGTAATCGATTGACGTCGTAGGGGCTTCCCCTTATACGTAATTCAGATAGCAGGGGATTCCCCTTGCCCACGTGCCTTCTCAACTAACTGTTAGTGATACAACAAACAGAATTTTATAAAAACAGAATTTTAGAATATATATATATATATATATATATATATATATATATATATATATATATATATATATATATATATATATATATATATACTTAACATGTTTAATAGTATAATAAGGTATTAAATTTAAATTAGCATTAGCTGAATATTCTTCTTCTTCTTTTTTTTAAAAATTAAATACGTCATTGTTTCTTTTTTTTTAATTGTAAATACATTATGAAAAGGGAAATTAACCTGCTACTAAAGTCTTTCAGGGTATAAACATTTTAATTCTTTAATTCTGTTTGTTTTTGTATGGTAATGTTTTTGTTAAATGATAGATCCAGAATTCAGAGGAGTAGCGAGGGGAGTGGCGAGGTTGCGGACAGCACCGGGTGACACCATTTTGGGGGGGGGGGGGGGGTAGAATATATACAGAAAATAATTTAAACTGCACTTAATCAAATGATTAATTGGAGTGAGTTAAACCAGCTAATGATAGAGAGAACTTGCTACATCAAGCTGCCTTTATAATCGACTATAGATAAAAAAAAATCGTTAGTATTAGCTGAGCACAGTTTAAAGCAATCACCGTGGCGTTGGGGTGGGGGTGGGAGGGATTCCAGCAACTCAACGTTGCATAATATGCCTGAAGAAAACGGTTTGGTGGAGGGGAGGGGGGGGGGTAAACATTTAAATACATCCAGAAAAAAAATTACATATACACAAGCGTATACACATACTTACAAGTATATATATATATATATATATATATATATATATATATATATATATATATATATATATATATATATATATATATATAATTTTTATAAATTTTTTTAACAAAGGGGGTGGGGGGTGACATCAGGTGCCGCACCAGGTGACACCCGACCTCGCTACGCCAGTGCCAGAATTTGCAGAAAGCTATTTTCTAACATAGAAGCAAAGCCTGAAACGTTAACAATAGTTTTATTTCACTTGAATAATGTTTTTTGCTGTTTTTCTTCTGTTTTATTACTTTAAACTTTAACATGACGTTTTTTTTTTAATTAGAACTTTCTTTTAAAACCTTTTTTCGCTTAAAATATTAACTACACCGTCTTTTATTGTGCATAAACAAATTTTAAACATGAAGTAAAATACACATTTAAACATGATAATTTAAAAACAAAATAATCGAAGTTTGTAAACTTTCAAAACATTCCAAACTCACAAAGCCATTGTATAAAGAATAGTAAAGGAAACTGACCTTAAGCACCTGATCTGCTTGTTTGGGTCTCTCGTTCGAGCAGTTTGTAACATGATATTGACTGAGGTTGTCTGTTGTCGTAATTCAAGGAATCTTCCCTAAACGGTGAACGAAAGTTAAGAAGAAAAAAAACTACTAGAATGTATTTAGGGATGGAGAGATAGAGGAACAAAGAAGAGTTTTGAGGGTTTGGTTTGTGATGGGGGTGGGAATGAGGTTATAAATAGGTTTTTAATTACGTTTTAGTTATAAACCAAGCAATTAACAATTAGTATACAAAACAAACTAACAAACAAATTTACAAACAAATAATGAGTTATAATTAATGATGAGGTTGAAGAAGGTGAAAGGGGGAATAGTAGGTGGGTAATTTCTAGCAGAGGGTGGGGTCAGTGTTTCTTTCAGATTTTTTTTTTCTCCGGAAGGGGCGGTGGGGGGGGGGGGCACTTTAAATTTTCGGGGATGGGGGGGCAGACTAAAATTTCCAGAAGGGGGGGGGGGCACACTGTTAAAAGTATATATTTTACATATAAATTCCATTTCGTTCGGGTGGGGGGAGGTGGCGGTAGACTCTCTTCGGCGGGGGGGGGGGGAGGGGGTGCTAAGCCCCCCGAAGAGATGCCTGGAAAAACACTAAGGGTGGTTCTTGCCTTAGGAGTAGACCTTGGTTACTGTTTAAGCAGGGTATATAAACATACATGAGATTTTGTATTATACAATACAAAACGTCATAGCTTTTAAGTATATACTTTTATACCCTTGCACCCCCCCCCCCAACTGTATATTACCACCTACTAAAAAATTAAAATCGATTGCCATTATCAACAGTTTATATAGGATATATAACAATTTGTGAGATTTTTTTAAAACAACACAAAACTGTCATAGCTTTTAATTATTTACATTTTATACCAGTGCCTTTCCCCCCCCCCCCCAAATGTATATTACCTCCTTCCTAAAAACTTAAGTCAATCCCCCCCCCACCCCAATCAACAACACATTTATCTCGATACTCTGAACCATCGCCAAATATTACACCATATTTGATTGATGATGTATGAGTAGGAACGAAAAGTAAATATTGTGTTGGGTGACCTCTTGTTGCTATTAACAAATTAAGTTTAGAGGTAAATGGCGACACAATTCATACATGCTAAGCTACCAGGCTGTTTTCTATGGATCTTGGGTTAGATCTTGGATCTTTGTCTTTTACACTTTACATCATTATCAGGGCTGACCGTCGTGTCTGTCTGAGAACCTCTTGAAATAAAATGACCAAAGTGTTTTCATGGCACTGTGTTTATGTCGCCCTGTGCTCCACCTGTAACTCGAGCAGTGCAATTTGTTGGTGGGTTCCATTTTGATGCTTACGTCATAGCCTGACCTGACCGCTTTGTCTGGCACTGCCGTCTGTATATAACAGGAGTGAAAATCTTTTTTAAAGACATGTAGTTCAAAAAGTCACCTGTACTCTTCTTTCTTTAGTTCTTTACAGGCTTCGTAATAAGAACATCTAGATTCAAACCTAGAGAAATGTTTATAATTCATTTTTATATAATTCAGAATATAAAATTTAAAACAAAAAATATTCACTGTTTTTAATATCATTTAAAGGTTGTATTCATGGTAAAGCTAGATTTCAATGTAATATAAGCAGCGGTTGCTATTCAAAATTATTAAAGCTATTCGTTAGAGAGGTGAATGGCAGTGAAAAGGTGAAAAGGTGGGGATGTAATGGAATGCAACGTAATGCAGAGGCGTAGCGGAGGGGGGGGGTGCGGCGGGGGGGGGGGGGGGAACCAAAATGGGTTGGAAAAACAAATTGGAAGTTTGAGGTGGGGGTGCATATCGCCGGAAAGGGTCGCTACGCCCCTGACGTAATACCTTACATCATTAAAGGATATTGACTTTGTAGTTTATACTATTAATTGCATCTAAAGTTAATTAATATCAAATAATTTGATATTGATTAACTTAGTAAAGGTGAAAAATTATTGAGAGAGTTCCATAATCTCTAGAAAAAAAACAATATTTTAAAGCATGTAGCATGTAGCATATAGCATATAGCATAAAGTATGCAGCGTGTAGCGTGCAGCGTGCAGTGTGTAGCGTGAAGAGTGTAGCATGTAGAATTAGATTTTTGCTTGAGGCATGTGGTGTATCACATCTATCATAATCATAAATAATATAGTATACAGCAAACAGCTAACTTAAAACAGCATACTGCATACTCATGTACACGTACACGTACACGTACACGTATACGTACACGTACACGTACACGTACACGTATATGTGTACGTGTACGTGTACGTGTACGTGTACGTGTACGTGTACGTGTACGTGTACGTGTACGTGTACGTGTACGTGTACGTGTACGTGAACGTGTACGTGTACGTGTACGTGTACGTGTACGTGTACGTGTACGTGTACGTGTACGTGTACGTGTACGTGTGCTTGTGCGTGTGCCTGTACGTGTACGAGTACGTGTACGTATTTAGTGTTATTTATGTTATTTCATGATGTATAATGATATATCTTTTTATTTATTGTACATGCGGCTTACTGCATTCAGCATATGTACGTGTACGTGTACGTG